TAACCTAGTTGATTAACTAGGTAGGTTAACCAACCAACCTAGGAGCCCCTATTATTCGGCTTTTAAAAGGAGGAAAATTCTGACACACACTACAACGTGGATGAACCTTGGCAATATTACGCTCTGTGAAAGAAGCCAGTTACAAAATACTGTATTATGGTTCTACTTTTATGAGAAACCTAGAGTATTTACTTTCAGAGAGACAGAAAGGAGAAATGTGATTGCCGAGGGTGGTGCAGGGAGGTTTGGGAAGGTATGGAGAGACTGTTTAATGGGTGCAGTGTGTCAGTTTGGGGAGACAAGAAAGTGCTTGAGACAGATAGTGATGATGGTCACACAACAATTTGAATAGACTTAGTTACGCCACAGAACCATACACTTAAACTTTAAAACTTAAATTAAAAACAAATCATTACAATGTAAGTTTCATGTTATGTGTATCTTACTGCAGTTTTTCTTGTCCTTTACGTATTTGTTTGTGTGTTTGTTTGTTTGTTTGTTTTTTAAAGATTTTATTTATTTGTCAGAGAGAGAGTAAGCACAAGCAGGGGGAGAGGCAGGCTCCCCGCTGAGCAAGGGGCCCCATGCAGGACTTGATCCCAGGACCCTGGGATCATGACCTGAGCTGAAGGCAGTGGCTTAACCGACTGAGCCACCCAGGTGTCCCATCCTTTTTTTTATTATTAACATATAATGTATTATTTGTTTGAGGGATACAGGTCTGTGATTCATTAGTCTTACACAATTCACAGCACTCACCACAACACATACACTCCCCAGGGTCCATCACACAGCCACCACATCCCTCCCATGCCCTCAGTTTGTTTCCTGAGATTAAGAGACTCTTATGGTTTATCTCCCTCTCCGGTTTCTTCTTGTTTCATTTTTTTCTCTTTTCCCCTATGATCCTCTGTCTTGTTTCTCAAATTCCACATATCAGTGAGATCATATGATAATTGTCCTTCTCTGATTGACTTACTTTTACTTAGCATAATACCCTCCAGTTCCATCTACATTATTGCAAATGGCAAGATTTTGTTTTTTGATGGCTGCATAATATTCCATTGTGTATATACATCACATCTTTTTTTTTTTAAAGATTTTATTTATTTATTTGAGAGAGAGAGAGAACATGAGAGGGGAGAAGGTCAGAGGTAGAAGCAGACTCCCCACGGAGCTGGGAATCCGATGCAGGACTCGATCCTGAGACTCTGGGATCATGACCTGAGCTGAAAGCAGTGGCTTAACCAACTGAGACACCCAGGTGCCCCACACATCACATATTTTTATCCATTCATCAAAGACAACTCATTTTAACTCAAGGAGAGTGCGATGTTCTGAAGCCAAAGAGAGAGTGTTTCAAGTAAGATAGAGTGGTCAACCTGTAGTCTGATGCAGAGAGAGGGAAGAGGACAGAAAACTCACCATTGTCATGCAAGCAAGTTAGCTGGTGATTTTAGATGTTTTTGTTGTTTAACCAACCACCCAAAACATAAAGGCTTAAAACAATAACCATTTATACAGCTCATAGTTCTGTGGAGTGACAATGGGTTAGGCTCATCTGGGTGATTCCTTTTTTTTTTTTTACGATTTTATTTATTTATTTGACACACAGAGAGAGATCACAAGTAGGCAGAGAGGCAGGCAGAGAAAGAGGGAGGGAAGCAGCTCCCAGCTGAGCAGAGAGCCCAATGCGGGACCCGATCCCAGGACCCTGAGATCATGACCTGAGCTGAAGGCAGAGGCTTAACCCTCTGAGCCACCCAGGCACCCCTCATCTGGGTGTTTCTTTTCTCAGCTGGGCCCACTCAAAAATATGTGGTCAGTTGCAGGTGTGATGGAAGCTAGTGGTGTAAGATTGGCCTTATCAGAGATGGCTCGTCTCTGTCCCATGTGGTATCTCATGCTACAGCAGTAGTCTCCTTGTTTACATGGTGGATGGTTTTTCAAGACCTCTTGAAGTCTAGGCTTGCAACTGGCGCAATATTGCTTTCACTGCATACTAGTGACCAAAGAAAGTCACAGGGAAGCCTAGATACAAAAAGGGGTTAAGTAAACTCTGTTTCTTAATTGATAAAGCTACAAAATCATGCTGCAAAGGGGTATGGATACGAGAAGGGCAGTAACGTTGGTCATTTTTGCAGTCTTTCTCGATCAACAATTTTGACTGGTGTAGATTCTGTGGGATTGGGGGAAAGGGAAGTACAACTGAAGTGAGTTCAGGAGAGAATGGAAGAGTGAAAGGAGAGACAGTGAAAACATGTTTTGCTATGAGGAGTTGCAAAGAACCAGAATAGGAGGTAGTCAAGAATGGTGTTTTGTTTTGTTTTTTAAAGATTTTATTTATTTACAGAGAGATCACAAGTAGGCAGAGAGGCAGGCAGAGAGAGAGGGGAAAGCAGGCTCCCCAGTGGGCAGAGAGCCTGATTTGAGGCTCGATCCCAGGACCCTGAGATCATGACCTGAGCCGAAAGCAGAGGCTCAACCCACTGAGCCACCCAGGCGCTCCAAGAATGATGTTTTTAATGGTGGGGGACACTGTATGCTGATGGAAATGATTTGGTGAAAAAGTAGAAACTGATTTAGAGTAACAAATGAAATTACAGAAAGACATCATTGCAAAGGCAAGAATTGATAGTGGGCAAAAGGAAAAGAAGAGAACCAGGAGAACAATGTGTTGGGGTGGCTTTGGGTGGTGCAAAGACAACTCATTTCAACTCAAGGAAGGTAACAAGTGTGATAGGAATGGCACTGAGATGGGGGATGAGATGGTAAGGAGATGGGGGGCCAGTCCACGGCCATTTTCTCAGTTAAAGTGTGTAATAACATCATCATTTGAGGTCAGAAGGCAAAGAGGAAGAACTGCCCATTTGGGGAGAAAAGAAAGAGCGTGAAATCTTCAGGTCAAAAAGCAAATTTATAGAGAAGTCTGTCCATCTGTGGTCATGACTATGAACCCAAACCATGCAATATGGTGATTTGTTCTTCATCAATGAAATTCAGCTCTTCTGGTGCAGGATGAAGTAGGTGAAGAAGGGTCAGGTTCATACAGAGCTGGAGAGAGGGCCAACGGTGGTAAAAATTGTAAGAGAATCCTCAACAAAGAATGGCATCCAAGCTGGGCACAAGGGCAGCAAAACGCTGGTAAGATCAATCTTTGCAAAGTCCTGATTAGAACTGAAGAAACATTTGCAACAATGCAAAAGAATCAGTGATTGTAGCACAGAGGTTGACAAATACTTTCTGTAAAGAGCCAGATAGTACTTTAGGAATGATGTCAATACAGTCCCTGTCATGACCACTTAACTTTAGGCCATAGTTTTCCGACTTCTGCCCTAAAGCCCGAAAGCAAAAGTTAGGGACCAAGATGATCAAAATCAGCACTATTGTCACTGTGGTCAGTTATGACAAGAACCATGGCAATGCCACCCGAACTACGGTGAGCATTTATTACCACCAAGATTAGGTACAAAAATTGAGATGAAGCACTTAGAAATTTGTATATCAAGTTGAAATAGCAGTTTGATGTATGTTCAATTTAACCATTAAAACAAGCCATATACCTAGCCATATGCCATATACCTTTTCCACTTATTTTTCTCAGAATTCACTTTTCTTGTTCTACAGAAGAATTGGTCCATGATGGATTGAACGTTTTAAAAATAATGGCAGGCAGTCCAACTTACAGGCAGTTGGAGAAGCAGTAATCCCTGGTGCAGTTAGGAGAGAGTGATTCAGGTACGATGGAAGTGAAAATCATTGGAGGTGAGAGGCAGAGGGCTTGGGATGTTATAGACAATGTTCACGGCACTAAGAACGGTAGCCTACAGAAAGTGGCACAGAAGGAAAGCCGTGGGAGCCCTATTTGTGTTTCAGCACCCTGCAGAGGCTGGTCCTGAGGATGGAGGCAGGGCTGAGGTTCCTCATCATCACGATACATGCTATTTCCCAATGAAAACAGCATCCAGATTAGCACAAAACTTGCAAAACCTTGTGCCCAGCCATCACTAAGGCCAACCAGCTTCCTGTGCATTCTCCGGGCTGTCTGGCTCCCGAGAGAGCCAACCAAAGGTCTGACTTTAGTCTGGGGGCTTGCCAAGTAGAGAGCCAATGTCTGGGGCGCCTGGGTGGCTCAGTCGGTTAAGCGGCTGCCTTCAGCTCAGGTCATGATCCTGGGGTCCTCGGATCGAGTCCCACATCAGATCACGTTCCTTGCTGGGTGGAGAGCCTGCTTCTCCCTCTCCCTCTCCCTCTGCCTGCCTGCAGCTCTCCCTGCTTGTGCTCTCTCTCTGTGTCAAATAAATAAAATATTTTTTTAAAAAATAGAGGGAGAGGGGCACCTGGGTGTCTCAGTGGGTTAAGCCTCTGCCTTCAGCTCAGGTCATGATCTCAGGGTCCTGGGATCGAGCCCCACATTGTGCTCTCTGCTCAGCAGGGAGTCTGCTTCCCTCTCTCTCTGCCTGCCTCTCCGCCTACTTGTGATCTCTCTCTCTCTCTCTGTGTCAAATAAATAAGTAAATGAATAAATAAAATCTTTTTAAAAAATGGAGGGAGAGAGAGAGCCAATGGCTGTGAGCCCCAGCTTGCCCACAATGCCAGGCTGAGAGAGCACGGATCTAGAGGCCACTCTCATAAGAGGAGGTGTCCGGTGTCTTTGGGATTATAAAGCCGCCCCCCCTCCCCAAAGCCAGCTGCAAGTTCAGGAGACAAGGATGGTTCCAGGGTGATGGAACTGGAGACTTGGCTCTGGATGTGTGACAACAGCCTCAGGTGCCAGCTTCAGATGTGGACAGAGTCAGCGGCTTTCGGGCACAGTCAGCCCAAAGCAGAGGCCACAGGCACTAAGGGGTGGGAGTCGGGGGACAGACAGCTGTCTTCCTCCGCAGAAGAGGGACAGCAGGACCCTTGGGGGCTTCGTGGTGTGCGAGTCACTGAGACACACAAAACCTGGTCAGACATTTATTGGGGTGGTGGAGCCGGTTCTCCACCCTGCAGTACTTTTAGACCGATAGGATTTCGATGTGGAACTCAGGCTGCCTGGGAGGGACGTCGTACTGGTCCTGTAGATGGTCATCGGTCTGTAAGGCGAAGCAGCCTTTTGGGACCTGGAGGATGCAGAGGGCGTGCCATATGTGGCAGTAACGTCGGTGGCACTGCCACATGCGAACCCAGGACTGGAGCCTGACGGCTGCCTCCTCCCGGATGACGTAGATCTTCAGCAGGTCCTGCCGCCGCTGAAGAACCCGCCTGCACAGGACCGCCCTCCACCAGTTCTGGATCACCCAGGCCCGGAGGGCAGCCGCCAGCAGGGTGCGGCGCACCAGGGTGCCACGCCACCAGGCCTGGATTTTCCTGGCCGCCTTGATCCGGGCTCTGCGGCGTTTCTTGCGAAGCCGCTGACCAAGCAAAGCAGAGGACTCCACGTGAATGCGTCGTGAACACCCAGGAGGCTGGCGTCTGCCAAGGAGGAGCTCTCATCTTCTCTCTCAACAACCAGGCTTCCCCCAGGTGGTTCTGGGGACCCAGGAGTCCCAGGTGGGGTTTTGCCTCTACTGTCTTGTCTGTGCCCACAGACACATGGGCTCATCCTCTGAGTCACGGGGGTCCTCATCTACACAATGGGGAGACGCTTCCTCTCTGGTCTTCCCAGGTTCGTGGAATCAGTGGAAACACTTTCTGATCCAGAAGCCCTGGCATGGGTGTGAGGGACCGAAAGTTCCTCTGACGATGACCCTCTCTGTGTTTATGGCCTGCAGCTCAGCCCCGATCCCCACCTGGGATATTGCCTCCTGAGGCTTCCACGCCATGCCATGACCCCTTGAGGTCTCGCTCTTACCTCACTTCTCTTAATTTCCATTACTACCTCTCGGTCACCCCCATATCCTTCCAGCTTTCCAGTGCCCTCTGCTGTGCCCCAGCTTCCCCACCTCGCTGCTGTCTCTTCAAGCTTCACACAGCTCACGTACAACAGGGAGGGAATTTATGGGGACAAGAGAGACACATTGAAGTGACTCCTTAGCTGTGGGACCAGAGATGGATCCTCCCTTTTCGGGGACTCTGTGGCCAGACGATCAGTGATCTGTGGTTCTCTCATACTCCTGGGAGCTACCTACCTTCAGTCTTTCTTTCTCTAGTGCATCCTCATCTGGACCAGACTTCTGCAATCAGAATATAGGGAGAAAGCATGAGTGGGGACCAGCTTCCGGGCGGAGTCCTCAAAGCCCTACCTCCCCATTTTTTCTGAGTCCTTTGAAGTCATCTGGTGTGTCCTGCCATGGGCCGGCTCCCCATCCCCAGGGAGGGAGGTGCCTGACTGTCTTACACAGCATTTATTGCCCATGGTTTGGGGCAGTCTTTCCGGTGTTCACACCCCCTCTGGTTGCCACTCCATTGGTCCTGTCAGAGGCAGAAAGGGTGGAAGAGAAGGAGATGACCATGATGTCACAAGGGCAATTATGACCCAGGGACCAGGTGGCCTTCTTCAGGCTCAAAGTTGTTGGATAAAGAGGAAACATCTGCCCATTTCCCTCCTTCCAGGGATGGGCTAATGTTCTTTGTGAAACCACAGCCCCTGTGAGTCTGTCCTTTCCCAAGGGTGACTCTAGTCAGCCCACCCACAGGACCTTCCTGTCATCAACCACTGAGGACAGCCCCTCACCCAGCGCCGAGGAAGGCAAATAGGCTCAGGCTGCTCTCTGCCTCCTGCCTTCTCTACCACCATGACCTTCCTCAATGTGTGGGAATGAGGATCACTGTGAATATGGAGGCTGAGCTGAAGGGGCCAAGGAAGGGTTAGGATGTAGGTACCTCAGCCAATTTCTACACCCTCCCAACTGCTGTAACCCTCTGTTCTTTCGCTGTTTGGTGCCTAACAAGCCAATATATGATTCTTTTTCTTTTTTTTTTAATATTTTATTTATTTATTTGACGGAGAGATGGAACACAAGCAGGGAGAATGGGAGAGGGAGAAGCAGGCTTCCCACCTAGTAAGGAGCCCAATGCAGGGCTTGATCCCAGGACCCTAGGATCATGACTGAGTCAAAGGCAGATGCCCAGGCAACCCATGTTAGAAGAATCTTTAAACACTGATGCCACTAATGTGTTCTACTCTGAGAATCCGGGTATATAATTCATCTCTGAGCTAACCATCCCAGATCCCTCGTACCCAGTAGGTAAGTTGTTCTCAACCTCTCTGAGATCATTGTATGAGGCATGTTAGTTTATAAAATTTGTATGACCCAACTCTGGGAAACCTTACTGTATTGATGTCTAAAAAATAATTTCTACCGGGACACCTGGTTGGCTCAGTCAGTTAAGTGTCTGCCTCCAGTTCAGGTCATGATCCCAAGGTTCTGGGTTGGAACTCCACATGGGCTCCCTGTTCAATGGGGAGCCTGCTTCTCCCTCTCCCTCTGCTGCTTCCCCTGCTTATGCTATCTTGCTCTTCCTCTCTGTCAAATAAAATGAATAAAAATCTTTAAAAAATAATAAAAGAAACAATTTCTACCTTTTAATTTTGTCAATTTAATACTTATAGAAATCCTACTAGTTCATCATTGACCGATTCTCTAATTTTCCAATATATTCTACACAATTTTGTGGGGTTTTTAAAGATTTTATTTATTTATTTATTTATTTATTTTTGAGAGAGAGCGTAAGCAGGGGAGGAGCAGAGGGAGAGGGACAGGCAGACTCCATGCTTAGCAGGGATCCTGATGTGGGGCTTGACCCCATGACCTTGAGATCATGACCTGAGCCGAAATCAAGAGTAGCACATTTAACCAACTGAGCCTCCCAGGCACCTCTATGCTATTTTCTAACTCTGTCTTTCTGTTCTACTTTTTGGAAGATTTTCTCCATTTTTAAAAGGGTCTTAACTTTCAAGAGCTCTTTCCTGTCCTCAGACTATTCTCCTTTTATAGCACACTATTCTTGTTTCATTGGTCTTTTATCTTTTACTAGGAATATTAGTTTTTTTGTTTTTTTTTTAATTCCCCCGAAGGGGGTGTGCCGTTCCTGGAAGTACTGCAATACCAGGTCAATGCGTGGAGTGGACGGAGCAAGCTCCTATTCCATCTCTTAATTCCAAAAATCCATTTAATATATTGTCCTTGTCTCTATTTAATTTAATCCCCCTTTTTTCTGTTTTTGTTTTTATCTCTGTCTCTCATGTTTATAATCCTTGGTTGTCTCTTCATGTGTATAAGCATGGCACTAGAATGCCAGAGGAAAGCTCAGTGTGCATCAGTGGGACTTACTAACTGGTGCCACTCAGTGTAGGTTAATAAGGCAGAGTTGGGTTTTGTTTCAGCGGGATGGTGGGCCAAATACCAGTATTCACTTGTTTTATTCTTTGGATCTTGTGATAGATTGCTTTAATCATCCTAGATGCATATATTTTCCTATAGGACTTTGTACTTTCTTCCCACAAGGGGACAGAGCTATCGTCCTGTGCCTTGGGTTTAACAGTGCAACATGCTTTGGCCCCCAGAGTAGGGTGGAATGAATGACAGGCAAGTTTGACTTTGGCTTCAGAAGTCTTTGCCAATTTATGTTTGCCCTCTTGCACTTCTATCATTGCCAACAAGAAAAGTGACGGGTAGCCTACTGGTACGAAGAGGAGGATGAGAGACATGTGGAGCAGAGCTTCTCCCACTGAAACACAGCACAGTGCAACATGCTTACTGTGGTATGCCACTGAGGCTGTGGCAGTTTGCTATGCAGCATTTGTGTGGCAATAATTAACTGATGCCCCAGAGGGGAATCCCGGAACACTGAGTCAGAGAGCAGAATGAAACCTGAGTGCAAGCCTACAGGCAGGTGATCCAGCAGACAGGGATGGAGGCCTCGATGTTTGGCCTGTTAAGTTTCAGTTAATCCCTCCATTTTGGTATGGAGCTTCACCTCTGCCTTCAGCCAAGACTGAAATCCCAGAGTCTAGATGCTCTCTGGTTCAGCTTATGCAGAAAATAAAACTTCTCTTCTGCTAGGGTGGAAGAGAGTTATTGTCCAGCTATACACATGAAGGAGGAGAATGGGGTGAAGGGGAAATACAACAAATTTCTTTTTATTTGTTTATTTTAAAAAAATTTAATTATATATTTTTCAGTGTTCCAAGATTCATTGTTTATGCACCACACCCAGAGCTCCATGCAATACGTGCCCTCCTTAATCCCTACCACCAGGCCTTCCCAACTTTGGAAAACAAATTCTTATTTAAATGTTTATTCCTCGGGGCACCTGGGTGGCTCAGTGGGTTAAGCCTCTGCCTTCGGCTCAGGTCATGGTCTCAGGGTCCTGGGATTAAGCCCCACATTGGGCTCTCTGCTCAACAGGGAGCCTGCTTCCCCCACCAACCCCCGCCTGCCTCTCAGCCTACTTGTGATCTCTCTCTCTGTCAAATAAATAAATAAAATCTTAAAAAAAAATAAGTGTTTATTCCTCATCTCAGATTCTTAGTGGTTGGTGCCTCAATTACATACTGTTGTTATTATTATATTCTTGTGGTACATTTTAATGTGACTTATGGTCTTCCTACCTCCTAGTCTCTTTTTTTGAAATTGTCTTGACTAATTATGAACACTTATTCAATGTGATTTTTTTTTTGTATAGGTTTGTCAAGTTCCCAAAAACTCTTGATGAGATATTTATAGGAATTGAATTTAACTTATAAATTTGGAGATAACTGACAACTTTAGAATGGTAAGTCATTCTATCAATAACTATATGGTATATTTCTCCTTTTATTTAGTCTTCTTTTGTAGCCTTTGATTTATGGACAGAAGCGGCATGTGTAAGGGTGATGGGTATTAAGGAGGGCACGTATTGCAATGGGCACTGGGTGTTATATGCAAACAATGAATCATGGAACACTATATCAAAAGGTAATGAAGTACTGTATGGTGACTAACATAACATAATAAAAAAAAAGAATTTGTAAATAAAAAAAGAGAGAGAGAAGTAACTTCAAGGATATGCCCTAAAAGAGAAGGAGTATGACTTTCTCTTCCTCTTTCCTCCTTGCTGGCTAGACTGGATGGGAATATTGAAATTGAAGTAGCTGGGGTGTCTGGGTGGCTCAGTCAGTTAAGCTCTGACTCTTGATCTCAGCTCAGGTCTTGATCTCAAGGTCGTGAGTTTGAGCCCCAGGTTGGGCTCCACCAGTGTGGAGCCTCCTTAAAAAACAAAACAACAATAACAAAAAGAGGGGTGCCTGTGTGGCTCAGTGGAGTAAAGCCTCTGCCTTCAGCTCAGGTCATGATCTCATGATCTCAGGATCTCAGGGGCCCCATCCCTGCTTGCCTCTCTGCCTACCTGTGATCTCTGCCTGTCAAATAAATAAATAAAATCTTAAAAAAAAAACAGTAGCCAAAAGAAACCTCAGGAGCCATTCAAGATCATGAAGTGACCTTGGGCTAGAGATTATATATAGCCAAGTAGCAAGTTAGAAGGGGCCAGGATTCCTCCCCCTGTGAAGTTCCATCTGGGCCTGGGCACTTATTTATGAACTTCTTTGGGAAAGAGAAATAAACTTCCAATTTATTTGAAGTTTGTTACTTTGGTTGTGTTGGCATTCACAGTGACCACGTAGTTACGCTCCACCCCAGTGGTGCTCAAAGTGGTCTCTAGAACAGAAGTCATAGCATCACCTGGAAACTTATTAAGGATACCCGTTCTTGGGACCCTCTACTGAATCAGAAGTGCTGGGTGGGGCCCAGGGATCTGTCCTAATGAGCCCTCTACATGGTTGTAACATAAGCTACTGTTTGAAAAGCATTGGTCTATATCTCTCCTAGGTCCAACACATATAATAGGATGTCCATGGGATGACTGCCTACTTTTTTTAGGAGGTAGAGCTCAGAGGTTGTCCTGGAAGTGAAGGCTGCCACACATATACTTTGTGTAAGCTGAGTAGAGGGCAAGGGAAGGATGGGACAATTTTATTTATTCTTAATACATAAATGGCTGATGGTTGCCCATGGCTCCCTCCTGCTGACTTGTTGAACTAGGCTAATTAAAGACTCCACATTTGGCTCATAGGAGACCAATCCATGATTAGATTCATATTCTGGTCATTCTGATTCTAGATAATTGGAAGAATTACCCATTAATCCATAACACTTTTCCATTTCACCATACTACACAGCATTACAAGAATGCTTTGGTCCTTTGGGCACATTAAATGAGAGATAATTCCACACTTACTGTCAAGAATTCCCTAGGCACACCTTCTGCCAAGTTTCTAATTAAAAAACTAATTTTTGAAAACCACTTTCTGAAAACCAGCTCACATAAAATTCAATCTAAGTGTTTATTAATCTATTGAGATCTCCTATTCTTTTGCTATCTGTCTCAGCAAACTGACTTAAGTGAAAATGAAGGTTGATTGTCTCACAAACTGAATTCCCATAGTATAGGTAGTGGTAGCCTCAGGTGTGGCTGGATCCAGAGGCCCAAAACAATCCTCAGAGCTTCCTTTCTCTCCTGGCACCTGTTGGATCTACTTTCCTCTGTGTCAACTCCATTCTCAGCTATTTCCGTGTGGTGCCTGTAGCAGCTCTGGTTTCATAATCTTTATAGTTGGCAATCCTACGAGTTCCAAAACATACCAGAATGGAGACTCACTGGCCTGACTTGTGCCATGCACTCATCCCTGAACCATAGGCATAAAATATTCTGACATTCCTCTAAGTACTTGCACATATCCTAGGCTGAGCCTGGGTTAGGTAAGTGCCTCCATCACCCAGGAGCAACCACGTTGGTGCCCTCCATGAGACCTGTCCCTCTCATCTTTGTGGAGTTCTTAGGGATAAGGAGTAAGCAGGGTCTAGAAGAGCAGAACTGTGTCTGAGGATTGGCAGGTTAACTATTAATGATCTCTACCAGAAACATACAGATCCAGAAAATCCAGTGAATTGAAAAGACAGAGACAAGGAGACATGACATTACGAAATGTGTAGAGAGGAAGGCCTGGACTGAAGGAGAAAGATACTGAGGAACATAAACAGATAATTATATAATGAAAGATGAAATTATGAGGGATAGACAGAGACACATAGGCAGATGAAAAGCAACAGGGAAGGATCTGTACCTGAAATGAAAAGACAACAGTAGATCCTCCTTCCACCACCTGGTACACACACACACACACACACACACACACACACACTCACACACATGGAAACGTTATCAAGGGAGGGATAATAACTCAAGAAGCCCTAGAATAATGTGTCTATTGGGTATGACGGTTCAAAGATGGTTGTCTAAGTGATTCATTCAGGGATGGTGGGACACATGTTTCTAGAAAGTAGGGTGTGAACCATAGTGAAACCACAAATCCATGGTCTGGTAGGATCGTGTACTCATTCATTACATAAGTATTTACTGAAACCACAGAAGAAAGCCACAACTTAATGAAAAGTCTCTTTTCAAAACTTGAACAGACGTTCCTCCAAAGGTGTGCAAATGGCCAAAAAGCACATGAAGATACCTAACATCATTCATCACAAGGGAAGTGCAAATCATACTGCAGTGAGGTACCACTTCCCACTAAGTTGGCTAGAATTTGAAAAAAAGACAATAACAAGTGTCAGCAAGAGTGTAGGGAAATTGGAGCCTGTACATCGTTGGTGGGAATGTAAAATGGTGTAAATGCTAAATATTCGTAATGGCATCATTCACAGCAACCAAAAGGTGCACCCAATCCAAATGTCTATAAAAAGATTAGTGGATAAATAAAAGCTGGTATAGCCAGACAAAACATATCAATCACCCATAAAAAGTAACAAAGAGGGGCACCTGGGTGGTTCAGTGGGTTAAGCCTCTGCCTTCGGCTCAGGTCATGATCCCAGGGTCCTGGGATCGAGCCCTGTGTTGGGCTCCTTGCTCAGCAGGAGCCTGCTTCTCCTTCTCCTTCTGCCTGCCACTTCCTTGTGCTCTTGCTCTGTCAAATAAATAAAATCCGCCAAATAAAAAAACAACCAAGAACATGGGGCACCTGGGTTGCTCAGTAAGGTTAAGCATCTGACTCTTGATTTTGGCTTAGATCATGATCTCATGGTTGTGAGATCCAGACCCACACTGGGCTCCATGCTCAGCGGGGCATCTGCTTGAGATTCTCTCCCTCCGTTCCTCTCTCTAAAATAATAAATCTTTTAAAAAAAGTAGGGACGCCTGGGTGGCTCAGTTGGTTGAGCGGCTGCCTTCGGCTCGGGTCGTGATCCCAGCGTCCTGGGATCGAGCCCCACATCGGGCTCTCTGCTCGGTGGGGAGCCTGCTTCCTCCTCTCTCTCTCTCTGCCTGCCTCTCTGCCTACCTGAGCTTGCTCTCTCTCCCTCTCTCTCTCTGACAAATAAATAAATAAAATCTTTAAAAAAAAAAAAAGTAATGAAGTACTGATGCATGCTACAGCGTGATGAGCCTCCGAAACATATTAAGTAAAACCAAACACAAAATATTTTTATTTCATTTATACCGAAAGTGACCCGTAGGGAAATCTATGGAGACAGGTTGCAGACTGCTGGTTGCCATTGGCTGGAGGACGGGGTGATGACAAGTGATCGCTTCAGGGGCACAAGGTTTTCATTTAGGATGGTGAAAATGTTTTAGAACTTGGTACAGATGATAGTCGTTGCTTAACACCGTAAAGGTACTAAGTGCCACTGAATTGTTAGTCTTACGTTAATGGTTAAGGTTACATGGTGAATCTAGAAATGGTTACGTGAATTGTACTTAAATTAGATTCATGTTCTGTGTCCTTTTATGTGATGGTCTATCAGGTGCAACCACAACAGAATAGAAGCACAAGAACACAAAATCTGTTATACTCCAACGTCTGAAAGAGGAGGTCATCCCATGTCATGCAGGGTCACGGGGTAGGCATCAGGTGTGGTCGGGCGGCAGAAGACAAGACTGAGAAAACAGCTTTTCCCATGGCTTTTGTTGGAGTGGGAAAGGCAAGTCAGGATAGGGTAAACAGTGTAGGACTGGCTGGGTTTGAGTATTTTCTGTGGCCACGAAGTTATATAGATGTTTGGTACCTGATTTAGGATGATTAAAGCAGAGGACTATGGCCCCCTGGGGTGTACAGGACAAAGAAAGAGGAGGTATGGCCCTGCACTGGTTCCTTTGCGGATGAAAATCATGCTCTGGGATGAGTCCTTTGCTATCTCTAAGGATTGGCTGGCAGTCTCTCCCAAACCCTAAAGAGATTTTTTTTAAGGATGAAAAAGTGGCTTATTGTGTAGAATATGTAGAATAGCATATATATGTGCGTGTGTGTGTGTGTGTGTGTGTGTGTATACATATATATGTTATTTGTCCCATATATATATGTGTGTATGTGTATATATGTGTGTGTGTGTGTGTATATATCTATATCTATGTGTGTGTGTGTGTGTATATATATATATATATATATATATGGAAGAGAGAGGGAGAAGAAGAGAGAACCTACTAACCTAGGTTCCGGGAACAGCGCTGAACCCAGAGTCTTGCTCTCCTGGAGCTCACCCTCTACTGCGGGCAATAAAAAACAAAAAATTATGTAAGATAATCTTGGGTAGCAATGAGGACTTTGAAAGCAGGAGAGCAGGGTCAGGTACTAGAACATACAGTACAAGGTGGGGAAGTCATTTCAATAAGATGGTCGAAGAAGGTCTCCCTGAGGAGGGAGCGTGGGGCAGAGACACACGTGAGTAGAGGGTTGCCCCACCTGGAAAGGCTATCTAAGGAGAGGAGGCAGCAAGTGCAAAGTGCTGAGATGGGAATGTGGAGGTGCGGGGGCGATCTGAAGAGCAGGGGGCCAGGAGGACATGGCCAGGCCGGGACCACGCAGGCTTATGGAGACCCCAGGAGGGCTTTTGGACTTGTTCTAAATGTGATGGGAAGACAGTGAAGAATGAAGAACCCTCCGTGGGGCACAGCCACAGGGGGCGCCATGTGCATGGACCACACTGTGAAGGAGTCTCCCTGGAGTTGGCTAAGTGGGTGGCCCTGTGACCCCCAACTCTCCTCCCTGTGGCAGATGGGGAGGCTCATGGGTTCCAGGCCCCGCCCTCTAGCACCAGAGGCTTAGAATCCTTTTCCACCAGGGACCCAAGAGGAACTCAGCCACATCTGTGGAGCAGACTGTGCCAGGCCTAGTCTCTGCAGCCATTTTCCCTGACCCTCTGCTGACACATGGACCTCCTGGGGCTGGCCTGAAAGAGACCCGTTGACGCAGAGTTGGAGCAGACCTGATCAGTTCTTTATTGGGAAGGGGATGCAGTCCGTAATCCGACAAATCTGTGAGCCCAAAAAAATCTCAAGTTCAAGACCCAGCTGTGATGCCGTGAGGTTGTAGGTGCCCTGGAAAAAGCCACGGGAATGGCAGTTATGCCAGCGCCAGTAGACCTGGATGATGCGGACAGCGTGGAGCAAACGGCAGTAACGCTGGCGGACGCGCCACATGCGGACCAAGGACTGCAGCTGGACCACTGCCCATTCTCGCCGCGAGAAGGACTCGAGGGCTGCTCGCTTTCTCTTCTCCAGCAGCTTTGCCAGCATCAGCTTCCACCAGTGCTGAATGACACATGCTCTGAGGGCCGCGTGCAGCAAGGTCCTGCGCACCAGGGTGCCCCGCCACCACGCCTGGATCTTTATGGCTTTCTGCTCTTGGTCAGGATGCTTCTTTGGGGAGAGAGGTGGCAAAGATAAACAAGGGATCCTCAGGGAACATTCCCCACCTACCTCAGCTCCAGGGCAGGCCAAGCAGGGCTCGCTCAGAAGTTCAGGAGCACTGGGCAGAGAGCCAGTAGACCAGATAGGTGTCTGGTCTCTGCGCCTCTCTCTTAATGGACCTCAGATTGCACCCCGAGGCTCAGGCTCCTGAACTGTAGAATGGAGCATTCTGGCACTAGCTATCCTGGTTGGTCTGTCTGGAAGAAGCACGCCATGCACCACGTTCCACCTGGGCCTGGGCCTGGCCACCTACCTGGGCTGCATATTCCTTCCCCTCCACCCCACCGAGGTGGCTGGAGAAGTGGCAGCCTTTGTTTGCATTCATGCCTGACTCCATCCAGCTCAACCCACAACCTGCTGTGTCTCTCCATCAAGTCACAGAATTACAAGTTTCCCTGCTCCATGCAGTGTGGAGTCCTTCTCATTTATCTCTCACTTTCACTTTGTGGGGTTCTCACATCTTAAACGTCAGTTAGCACGCATACGTGCACACGTGTACACGCACACTCCCACACAGTTCTATACTCGGCTTCCCCTGCATGTGGCAATGCCTTCTCCAAACACAGCCTCACTGCCCCACTCCCCAGCTTGGCAGGGTCTGAGTCCCACTTGTCAGGGGTTCCCCTCCTTTCTACCAAGTCTCTGTGCCTCAGTCACCCACCTTTCTCCGACCAAGAAGGAACTCGGAGGAGAGAATAACCAAGGATAAAGCAGAATGTCCCAAGCCAATCAGGATGAATGTTTGCCCTATCCATTCCGGCTCTGGGTAGGGCAACTGTTCATCCCGATTGGCCTGGGACATTCTGGCTTATGCTTATTGTTCTTGAGGAATCACTCAAAGCCCAACCTTGTACTCACAAATGGAACCTGGTCCAGGTGACGGATTCCAGGATCATGCCATGCTATGGGGCACAGAGAAGACAACCCAACACTCCTTGAAAATAAGAGCCACCCTTAACTTTGAGGGCCTCCATTGACCTACCTTTGGTGGTGGGGGTGGGGGAGGTGGAGGTGGAGGGGGTGGCGGTGGGGGTGGGGGTGGGGGAGGGGGGGGTGGAGTCTCTTTCTTTTTCTTTTTCTTCTTTTTCTCTTCCTCTTTCTCTTCCACTTTTTCTTCCACTTTCTCTTCCTCTTCCTCTTCCACTTTTTCTTCCACTTTCTCTTCCTCTTCCTCTTTCCCTTTCCTCAAAGTGGTTTCCTCAACATCTTCTATCACGATTTCACAAACATTGCCATTCTTCTGTAATCAGAGTTCAGAGGAGAAAGCTATCATTAGAACTGTGTACAACTTCATGCCAAGTCCACCACATACTCAACTTCCTGCCTGGCCCAGAGTCCCTAGATGTAGAACTCGTATCCTGAGTTAACTGTGGAAATCCACCTTCCCCTGCCTGCAACTTTGGGTGGCTCTCTCTTACACAAAACCGAACGCCCATGACTTGGTTATGGATGGTTCAAAGTCCCTCAGGTCTATAATCCCCTAAATTCCCCATGATAGGAGCATGATGGTTCCATTGCTCCCAGGTCTGTACTCTCCCCACCGCAGCCTGGCAGGAAGAGGGTAGGAAGAGACAGGGATGTGATGTCATAAGGGCACCTGTGACTTGGGCTCCAGGATGGTTCCAGACAATTGAGTTCTTTTTTGGTGAAAATATGGAAGTCCTTGCCCACTCTTTCTTACCATTAAGTGCCCAAAAGTTGGCAAAAAAGGCAGCACGCAGAAAATACCGCCCATGGACACAAAAGTTTATAGATACAGTCATTTCAGGCTGGTGGAGAAAAACACAAATTTGAGACAATTTAAATATTCATTAAGAGAGAATTCAACTAGATGCGTTTCATTTCAATCAGACAATGGAACCAAATAATGATTAGAAAGAATGAGTTGGCAACAAAATTTTAAATAAGCAGTTCACTAAAGATTTATGAATGGCTAGGAAGCACATGAAAAGTTCCCTAACATCATCAGTCATGAGGAAAAGGAAAATCAAAACCACAATAATCAAAACAAAAATCAAAACCACCCAACACGTCAGAGAAAGGCTAACACAAAAAATACCGACAACGCCAAATGTTGGCAAAGACATACAACAGCTGAATCCCTTATGACACTCCTGGCGGGAAGGTAAACGACAGTTTCTACTGAAGTTCAGCATCTATCCACCCTAGAACTCAGCGGGTCTATGCCTAGCTATTTACACACAAGGGGCGCCTGGGTGGCTCAGTGGGTTAAAGCCTCTGCCTTCGGCTCAGGTCGTGATCCCAGGGTCCTGGGATCGAGCCCCGCATTGGGCTCTCTGCTCAGTAGGGAGCCTGCTTCCTCCTCTCTCTCTGCCTGCCTCTGCCTACTTGTGACCTCTGTCTGTCAAATAAATAAAAAGAAATTTTAAAAAAGAATGAAAACACGTGTCGGCAAAAGAGTTGTGCGCATGCCTGTTCACAGCAAATTTATTCCAAGAGGTCAGCACTGGAAACAATTCAAATGTGCATCAACAGGTGACTAGGCAAAGAAATTGTGGTATATTCATTTAAGGAAATAATAAAAAGTAATAAAAATGGACAAACGTCTGACACCCACAATAACACAGGTGAACCTCGAAAACATTATGCTAAATGAAAGAAGCCAGACATCCAAGAGCATTTACACGATGATTCCACTTATAAAAAGTTAGAAAACAGGCAAAATGAAACTATTGGTAAGATAATTCCAAATGGAGTTTACACCTGGGGTAAGGTATAAGAGTTTTTGCCAGCAAACAGCACAAAGAAAGAAAAATTTGCTACATCTTGTTTTGGGTGGTGGTTACCTGGGAAAACAGAATCATGAAAACTCATCAAACACCATAAAGAAGCATTTGATAAAGGCACAGTGAGGGGGTACACAGAGAGGGGGAGGCCATTTAAGGTTGGAGGGTGTTAGTGTGAAGGTAGTGAAGTGAATGGGAAGGGAAGACAACAGTTGGCTAGAAGAGGCAGGAAGAGGTTGGGACACGTGGAAGAGGGAAGGCAAGGAAGCATCTGTTTGGAGACGTAGGTGTTGGACCATCCCAAATGCCAGGCTTGCGTCTCCGGATCTCTTTCTTAGCTTAGATCACAGCCCAGAAGTGGTTTTTGTTTGTTTGTTTCTACTATATTGTTACTTTTCAATTCATTCAAGCAGACATTTATTTTTTTTAAAGATCTTATTTACTTATTTATTTGAGAGCGAGACAGAGAGCATGAGTGGGGGGGGGCAGAGAGAGAGGGAGAAGCAGGCTCCCCGATGAGCAGGGAGCCCAATGCGGGGCTTGATCTCAGGACCCTGGGATCATGACCTGAGCCGAAGGCAGACTCTTAACCAACTGAACCACCCAGGCGCCCATTCAAGCAAAAATTTTAAAAAAATATTTTGATCAGTTTTCCAGTTCTTCTCAGCAAAAGGATTAATCCTAATGATTCGGCACACCATCATCTGAAGTGGAAATGTCTCCAGATTATATGCGCTTCTTTCAAATTGAATCACAGTTAACACACCGGTTACGTTCACTTCGGGTGTACAATACAGCGACCGGACACGTTTAACTCCTGCTCTATGTTCATCCATCGCCTTATTCTCAACTTTTCATCACATTTTGTTAACAAAATACAGGTGTCTTCCCCCTCACCCAGCATTCTTATATTTATTCAAATTCAAAAATCAGAATTTGATTCTTGTACCACTAGGGTAAACAGAGCACATACAATCATAGTGTAGAGCAACCCCCCCCACCCCGGGAACCTTCTAGAATAACAATCACCCTGAAAGAACTCTGAAGACCAAGAGCCTTTAATGAAGGAAACTGTTAAAGCCACCCTTCCTCCAGGATGCGGGGCCGGGCTTCAGGTCACTCTCGTCCAGCTCAGCCTGCCGGCCATCTCTGAACTGTCCCGACGGCAACAGCTTCTCGTGCTTTCATACCCTCCTCCCTCTGGACAGTTCTGGGAATCTTGGTTTCTGTGTGTGTGTGCGCGGGAAAAGTGACAGCACCACGAGGCAGGTGGTGCCACCAGCACAGGAGCGCGCCTTCCCCAGGAAAGTGACAAACCTGCGTGGGGCGGGGAGGAGCAGTACCAGCTTACCAAAAATACCCTTTGGGTAACACCATTTCTCTCTCTTTCTTTTTTAAAAACAGTATTAAATTCAATATGCTGGCTAACTGAACATAATAAAAAAATAAACAGTATTAAATTCAGATGCACACAGAATCACAAAAATATTAATCCATTATGTTTTATTATGAGCACATCTTGGATTCTTACCTCCTTACCCTGCCCTTTTGCCAAGGGTATTACCATTTTGGAAACATCTAAACAACAGGCCTGTCAATCAAAATAATTCTGCAGAACCTTTCCGAAATGACCCAGAGAAGAATATGAAACGGTGTTCCCGGGTTCCAGGGTACAGAGTCTCTGCATCCTCCTGGAATTCTAGAAATCTCCAGTAAAGCCATATGCTGCAGAATGCAGAACATTCAATGCAGAATGTTCAGCAGGTTTCCCCCTGTATCTCAGACAGCTTTCGGCATGTGTGTAAAAGAACGGCTTTCACCTCCCAGAAAAGACCCAATGCAGAGTCAGATCTTGAGGGGGGAAGTTCAGGGCAGCAGACAAAGGCACGGAGCCATCAGTGAGTCCCAGAGAGCAGCATCTGGAAAGAGAAGGACAGGAGCAGGGATGCTGCTGCCTGCTGATGACCCTTCTTCGGATGCCCAGGGTCAGTGTGATCCTGGCCCCCGTGAAAGAATCGCACTGTGATGATTCATCTGGGCCCTCACCGCCTCAGCTGGGGGTCCACCCATCTGCTCCTTGGTCAGCTCAAAGCACCCTCGGGCCACCTGCTGCTGCCTGGTTTCCTCGCTCACCGCTCACTGGCAGCTCCCAGAGACATATATGCCCGTGGCCTGATCATCCTGGAGGACTGTCTCCACATCTTTGTACGCTTTTGTGTACTTGAACTTAAGAATGAGTTCACACCCGGTGGCGAACCTCTGCCTCCTGCTGGGGGAGGTGGTATGTTGGTCAAATCGAGGCTTTGCAGAGTTGGAGGGGGGTGGGCATTTCAGAGTCTTCTGCTTCAAGAGATGCTCCCTCCAGAAGCAAGACAGCTGGTCTGGGAGGAGGTTTTCAAACCCTTCAGTCTCCCTTTGTTTCTGTTCTCAGGGTCTCTAGCCACTCGTATTCAGTCCTCCCCCCTGTGAGCCTGGCACTCCCTTTGCAGTAGCTCAGTCGGGGAAGGGGAGGGTGGGAGCGGGCGGGCTGGCGGGAGAGCAGGAGGAGTGCGCCCCACCACCACCCCCTAACACCTAAGGCACAGCTCGGGAGATGGGCGGGAGGAGCGACAAAATGCAGGTGTCTGTATTTTTACTAGATGAATGTGACAGATTCACATTTATCATGATTTCTAATATGACTGATGTTACGGTGCTACTGTTTCAAGGCTTCCATGCCTGGTTTTCCCAGGAAGCAGGCAGCAGAAGAGAGGAACGCTTCGTGTCGCAGCCCCTGGGGAGGGAGGCGGCAGGCGGCTGCTCCTCAGCTCCTGGCCTGGACTTCCCAGCTGGCTTCTCTGTTCTCCCACCCTGAGTGGAGGGGATGCCTGGACAGGAGATACAAAAGAGCAAAGCCCAAGGCCCGTATTCCTTGGGGACAGGTGTTAGACTAGGTTCCCTGTCCCTACTGGCATCCCAGTGAGCCTGAACCCTAGGGTCTATTTTAGAGAGGAGATTTTCCAGCTCCGTCATCAAGAGCAGGGGCTTCAGGTGGCCTTGACCCAGGCCCCCCTTTCTATGTCACAGATTTCCCTTAAGTGGCCATCAGGTTGAGTAGGCTATGGCACCCTATGTCATGGCCTCCTCTATTTCAAGCTCCATCTGGCTTTGCAGACCATACCGACGTAACAGGAATCAAGAAAGGACCTGGTAACACTGTCTGGGGGCTAGCCAGTGGCTCTTGAAAAAAAAGAAAATTGGCCTCCAAAAGATAACCATGTCAAATCCCTAGAACCTGGGAAGGTTATCTCCTACTATGAAAGATGGGATTAAGTGAAGGGTCAGGAGCTTATTCCGGATTATCTGGGTAAAACCTCCGCGCCATCACCCACAGGCCTCTTCAGAGAGAGGCTGAGGGAGTTTTGAGAGAGATACAGAAGGAAAGGTGACGTAAAGATGAAAGCAGAGATCACAGCAGAAGCTGGAAGAGGCAGGGAAGGAATTTTCTAGAACTTCGTGGTGGTGGTGGTTGGGGGGGGATCTGGCTCTCCTGATGCCTCGATTTCAGGCTCCAGCCTACAGAATTGCAAGAGAACACATTTCTATTGTTTTAAGCTCCCACGTCTGTGCTAATTTGTTCCAGCAGCCACATAAACTAATACACCCCCTACATTTTAAGTAGGGCAGTGAAGTCTCTTTTTTGCTTAAAC